CAGCTTGGTGTCCATGGGAAACTCCAGGTCCTTTCCTGCAAGCTACTTTCCAGTTGGTTGGCCCCCAGCCTGCTCTGTGCATGGGTTATTACTCCACAGCTGCAGGACTTGCATTTCCTGCTGTTGAACTTCATAAGATCACTGATAGTGTTTATCCCTTTGTTTCTCCAGCTTTTTAAGGCAGCACAACCTCCTGGTTTTTTGCCATCTGCATACTAGCTGAGGGTGCACTCTGTCCCATCATCCAGGTCATTAATGAAGGTGTTAAACAGTATTGTCCCCAGTGTAGATCCCTGAGGTGAACCACTAGTGGCTGGCTGCCTTACCATTGATCACAACCCTTTAAGCTCAACAGTTCAGCCAGTTTTCAGTCCACATCACTTTCCATTTATCTAGCTTGTATTTAATCAATTTATCTATGAGGATATTATGGGAGACAATGTCAATAACAAAATAAGATAAACAACTTCCACCATCCAAGCCAGTCATGTCGTTGTTGAAGGCTGTCAAGTTGGTTGGTCAGTCATGGTTTCCCATTCACAAATCCAGGTTGACTACTCCCAGTCATTTTTTGTCCTTCATGTGTTTGTAAATGGTTTCTAGGAGGATTTGCTCCAGTCTCAAGGCAGTCGCAAATACAATGTAGACTTTGTTTTATGAGGGTAGAAAAAACAGGTAAAAACAAATGCAAGGACTAGAGAGAGAGGCTTAGTGCTACGCTTGTGCTTGAGAAGTACCAGCTCTTTAGTGAACCTTGGAGCTAGACCAGCTCTGATACCACCGGCTTGTAGCGAGCTGCTGGCATAGCAGAGGCAGTAAGTGTTAGTACAGAAGTGTTCAGGCATGAGAGCTTTCCCCCCTGACTGAGGATTCCTAGCATTGTAAAGTCACTGGGATCTTCTGTAGGATGAACTCAGAAGATGAGTCCTGAAGTTTTATATTTAAATGATATTATCTATGTTGATTTTGCTAGCACAAAAGAGGTTGAGTTAAATTGCTTCTAAGTATAGGGCTCTGTTGAGTTCTTCTATAGTTAGCACTGTTAATAAAGGAGTAGAACCTTCACTGCATTGAGCTTACTGTGACTCTGAAGAAAAAATTTAGCATTTATTTTAATATATTTATTAGTACAAAAATGTCTAAATCTGAGCATTTAGCAGTAATTCACTATAATCCTGAAGTCTTTAATATTTAAAGAAAATCTACAGTGCAGCTTCTTTGGTAGAAGTAGAAGAAAAATCTTCCACAGTTGGAAAATTACAGGCTGTGTAGGTGTTGAAATGCCTTCTGCTTCACATTCTTAATTGGCAGCAAGCCAGATGCTAAGCATTTCTGGTTTAAAGGGAAATACTCCCCTTTTCTTTAAATTTCTGGTGGATAAAGGTTGCATTTTGGTTGCATTTTTTAGCAGTTAGGATTTCTTCCATCTTGATACAATGTGAATAAAATTGTCAATTAAATAGCTTCTCCAAGTTACCTTGACCTTTTGCGTTATTGCTGGATAACACAAAGGTATGCATCTTTCCCTTGCAAGTTGTATCGTGAGAAGTTGTGGGCCTCGTACACCCTGTGACCCTTTTCTGCTCTGGGAGCTCTAGATTTCTCAGTTCTGCTTTAAAGCTTTGTTGCAATTAGTGTATGATGCTCAGAGAAATCTGCCATAAACATGACAGGTTTTAATATTCATGGTTTTAAATGAGATAATAAAATGGTTTTCAATAATGCAAAAAGATTGGAAGCTGTAAATAGATCAGGTGTTAATCATTAAGTCCATTTTCAGTAGTTGACAGAATACTGTCCTTTCACTGAATTCAGGTGTTAGTTGGAGATGTGTTTTTATTGAGAGAGCTCATACATGTTTACCCAATAAGATTGTGGGGTTGCTAATATCAAAATCAGTCTGAAAATCTGTAGTCTCATCCATACTTGCTGGTTTTGAATAGCATTAAAAGGGGCTTTGGTGTAGCTTTGCCCTGTCACAACTAAAAATAGAGTGGTGTATATGGTAACTAGCCAGAAAATTGGTTCCTGATACTTTTTAGGAAAATCACATTAGCTTAATTTCATATCAGTAGGAGACTTAGCAGAAGACTAAAAACCTACAAAAATACTGATACATTTTCTCAGTTGGAATACATGTTGTATTTTAAAAAATGCAATATTTAAAAAAAATGCAATATTGGATTAGTAATTTCCTGTACTTCTAAAGCAAGGTAGATACCAAGAGATAACCCATATTAAAAAAATGTAGGTGATTGTTTTTATGGTCTGTCAAGCCTTTTCTCCTCGACCTTAAAATTATGTATCTTAAATTTGTCCTGATTTCAGCTTGTTAAATTTTGTTTGTAAATATTTTTGTTGTTACACTCTGATATTGTGAATTTCAGTGTTGTTTTGTTTTTTCATCTGTGTTGAGCTTCACCCCTGGCTGTGCTTTTTGTTCATTCTTTATTACTGTCAATGTATAGGCACAAAAAAGGTCAATTCTCTGCTCTGGGAATGATTCACAAATTTTGTTCAGCAGGTCAAAATGTTGCAGCCCTGATGGCAGCAATGTGTGATAACCTCACTACAATGCTCGCAGCTTTCTGCTCACTTGTTACTTATTTTAGAATTTATGATAACTCTTCTGTTTGGGTTCTTACCTTTTGTAATATTTAAGGTGTATATGGTCTGTTAAAAAAAGACAGAAATACTGGTTCCTGGCATTCGTGGCATGTAGCACCCATTTAGAACAGTTATTGCCATGACTAAGTTTGTGATGGATCCTTCTTGATTGCTCTGGAACTCAGGGAAGTAGGAACATTTTATTTTGTCCCAAATTAATTATATTAGTTCAGTGCTATGGTCACGCAAACATTTCTAAAGACGTTAATATATTACTAAGTGAGAAATCAACAGGACTACCTGAAGTGGTGAAGTTGTACATAAATGTGAATGCCTGTAGGACTAAGGCTTGTAATGTGTTTCTGTGGGCAGGAGCCATCATTTAATTACAGTATAGGTACATGCAGGAGAGCTAGTCTTTGTGTCCGCCTGTATAGGTGGTGGAGGGAAACAGGCACTTCAGTGACCCTGTCCGTCTCATCTATTGAGGTTGAGATAAGTTGCTTTTTATTGAGTCTATTCCTCTCCATTGATTTTAAAAGGAAATTATCTTAGAGGCAGATACGCAGAATCTAACATTAGGTTAATTCCATCATATATGCTTTAGACACATGCTTTCAAATTATAGGCACTTTGTGTTATTCTGTACAAAAAAATGGGACATACCTGCCATGGCAAGTTTTACCCTTTCTGGAAGGGGAAGGTTTTGTTGAGGCAGAGGTTTTCCCATATTAAGACCCTTGTACCTTGCAAAGAGGATTTGAATTCCTGAATTCCTGTCTTCCAGAACGTACTGCCTTCTAACATGGAAAATTATCTTTGTGAGGATTGTGAAGAATACTTTCTTTCAAAAGTACACTAAAATTGCAGTTTGCTAAACACAATTAAATTAATGTTGGTGATGCTTAATTGTTGTTTGAATATTTTCACTGGGAAATTATACAGTGCAAAGAAAAAAAATCTTTAAAGTAGGATATTACAGTATTTCTGTTGGGGTATTTTAATCTCTGTTGGTTTTAACCAAAGCTTTTACTTTTGCTTCTTGCTTATTATACAAACGTATCCTCATTTTTAAAAGCACATTTGTATGCATTTAACAAAATAGATCTGAATTGGCCTGCTTGACTGTACCTATAATTTATCTGATCCTCTGAAAGACATGGATGTTGAGCATGGTATAGAGCATTAATAGAATGTGTAAAGATCTTTTCAGCTCTAAATGCTTTGCATCTTATTTGTGAATTGCCTAATGTACTTCAAAGGCAGAACAGAATTGGAAGGTGGTTGTGCAAATCTACTGTCCTGTGACCCATTTATGTACCTAGTCCCCTTCCTCAACTCATATGGTCCACTAAGAAAACTCGGAATGATGATGGAATGGGGACTGGTACATGGAAGTATTTAGAAGTAGTTTTACTATGAATTTCTTTTAAAATTATGTGTATTGTACATTTAATTGCAATCTCACACTAAAAAAATGCTTGCATATGTGCAGTTGAGCTTTGTGTGCTTATTTAAAAATTAGCTGCTTAGCTGTTGGAACAAATCTGAATTTGTTTAGCAAAATGGATTTTAGGTGTTTAAACAGGAAAAAGGATGTGTTGACATCTAGTTTTATTTTTTATGTTGGCATTCAGACTCTTTCTGATTCCATTCTAGAAGTTAATCCGCTTGGGTATTTTTTGGTTTCACCTCATGCCTTTTCTTCATTGCTGCCTGCCCTTTCCCTCCTGTTTTGCTTCTGTTTTTTTCCTTTTTCAATTGCAGGATACCACTGACTCACTGGGAGTCAGGATGAGGAGAAACATACAAGATCTGTGATCTAACAAAGTTTTTGCATCCTCCTTTAATCATATGTTTGTCAATACATATCTGATTGTTCATCTGACACTTTTCCCTAC